AATTTAAAAACTATAATTAGTATTTATTCATATATTATATTTTAAAATCAAAGAACTACTAATCAGGATATAATTAAAGAAATAAGAGTTCATGTTGCTTTTAAAATATTTCACCAATTTCTCTAAAGGAAACACTATCTACAGATTTGCATCGAAGCGTTTCTTATGATAGTGATTTTAATCACTGTCAGATATCATCTATACTTATCTCATCTATGCCACGTCTATACTGTGCCTCGACCCCACTGTGCTACCGTTTTTTTAATTTTGGTTTAGATAAAAACTATTTAACTATATACAATATGTGTCTAACATTTCAATCAAACGTTAAAATAGTTGATTATTTTAAGAGAAAAAAGGGGGATCGCGGCACAGTGATGCCATGGTATAGTTGGATCAAGTATGATATCTGACAGTGATTAAAATCACTATCAAAATTAACGCTTCGATGCAAATCTTTAGATTGTGTTGAATCTGCTAGTTCCTTATTAATATCTTGATTAAGATAAAGTATGTCGAATGAAAAAGGGATTATTAAAAAATACTATTTCTCATANAAAGTATGTCGAATGAAAAAGGGATTATTAAAAAATACTATTTCTCATAAAAAAATTATGTTGATCCATACACTTTTCAATAAGTTATAGCATTATAAAGTTAAAAATATAAAAAATAAAATCGAGAATTTTCACACGAAAATAGCATTCGGTAGCAATTTTTGCCGTGAAGACAAGTCTAGAGGTCAATTTTTTTTTTTTTAAATTAAGGTATATTACATAAGCTTTAATTTAAGATATATATAAAAGTGTCAGACCTTCCGGAACATTTTCAAAAGTTAAGTTGAAAAAGTTAATTTTTTGTGAAAAAGTTGTCATTTTAAATCCCCCCCTGTGGGCAGGTTAAGTGTCAGATTTACAAAAAAAATATACCAAATGATAAGTAAAGACATCAAGCATCTATATAAAAAAAAATTATATTGATATGTTCATTTTTGAAAAAGTTAGAGCATTATTAAGTTAAAAATATAAAAAAAAATTATTTTACAAAAATCGTAATTTTTTATTAACTTTGATGTCAACTTTCACCACGAAGACAAGTCCAGAGGTCAAATTTTTTTTTTTCAAATTAAAGTATATTACATTAGCTTTAATTTAAGATATATATAAAAGTGTCAGACCTTCCGGAACATTTTCAAACGTTAAGTTGAAAAAGTTAATTTTTTGTGAAAAAGTTGTCTTTTTAAATCCCCCCCTGTGGGCAGATAAAGTGTCAAATTTACAAAAAAAATATACCAAATAATAGGTAAGGACATCAAGCATCTATAAAAAAAAAATTATATTGATATGTTCATTTTTGAAAAAATTACGGCAGTTTTTAGTAAAAAAAATTTCGAAAACTTCGAAAATTAGCGATTTTTAAATTTGTAATTTTTGTGGAGGTTTCCCCCATTTACGGGGAACGAGGGAAATTTTTTCAATTTTTGAGTGTAATGTCTTCGATTAGATACGATTTGTGATCTTTTGACGTATCGTTGAAAGAAATCCGTTCGGTGAGAGCTGAGAAAAAGTCGTAACAGACACAAAAAAAAAAACACATCATAGTAAAACCAATACCTTCTCAGCTTCGCATCGAAGCTAAAA